TTCTTTATTTTGGTCGGCCCGTAGGAATGCGACGCGTGTCCATTTTCACTCGATTGCGTAAGGCAGCGGCGATTGGGTTTTGACTGAAGATGTGAGGGCCCTTTTCATTTGATGGGCCTTTGCATATTCGTTTCACATTGATTTTACTTTGGCCCATCTTTTACTTTCATTTATGATTTTAATTGTAGATTTCAATTACCCCATGACTATAATTTTTTTTAAATATTTATTTTTCTAGTGTCAAATTTAGAGAAATATTTTAGATTATGTGAAATATTTTCTAGTATGTACACGTTTTATCCCATTCGAGATCTATATTTTGAAACAAGCTGATCATAAAATGTGTCTCGTAGCTTGTAATCAGATTGTGGTGCATCAGAAACTGATTTTTTGCATAAAACGAGTACCGATTAGTGAACATTCCATGAAAACCCAAAAGATTCTTTTGAATTTAAGAACATTTCATGAAATTCAGAAGATTTTTAGTTAATGGGTGATTATAATTATCAAAATATGATTTTTTTTTTTCGTAATTTGACATTACATCAGGGTGACAGTAAGACCCGTGACTTAACTAAATAATAATTAATTGGTCAATATTAATTGGGCTTCAATCTAGATATTGCAGGGTCATACGGAAATCTAGTCAATTCACTAGGCCCAATTCACATGAAATTTATTGCAGGGTCAATTTTTATTGGGCTTCAATTCTTTGTTACATGAAGTTTTTAAAATGGTTCAATTTATAAGTTTTGATTTTTTGTGAAATCAATATTCTTATTTAGATAAAATTTCGGTTTAGTATTGTATAGTTATTTAAGTTTCATTTTTTTTATAATCTTTTCGTTTTAATAAATAATAAAATAGCCGTACTTTGGACTTTCAAAATTTAGGCATTTAAATGTTAAAGTAGGTTCCAATTAGGAAATAAAAAGGAATTAAGAAGGAAATAATTATATGAAGATTCTCTCTCGTTAGTTGTTTCCTATTCTGTATTTTTTTCCCTAAAATCGTGTTTACAGCAATTAACAACTTCTTCTATTTATTCCGAACCATGCAAACTTCAACTTCATAATTACTCCGCGAGTTTATAAACGCTTTCTCCTCCACTTCCACTCTATCCTCAACACACACCAGACACACACACACGGGGGAATCAATGGAGTGTAGAGTGAAACCCCAGACCCTTTCGCTACTAACACGAACTCCGATTTTCCCTCTCTCTCCGTGCGCCGTCGGAATCCTCCGCAGTGAATTCCTCGGCAGCGGCCACAATCTCAGGCTGCAGCGGCGGAGATGCAAAAAATCGCGGCATAAACACCAGTCTGATAATTGCAAGTTTCTCTTCAAAGCCTCGCTCGAATCGCAGCCGATTTTTGTAATCGCCGCCGCAGTTGCCACCGTTTCTGCCATGACTGTCGTTTATTTTTCTTATTCGAGAAAACTATTTAATATCGCACAGGTAATCACTATCCTGCTACTCCTGTCAATTTTTTTTTTGGGTAGAATTCACAGTGAAATTACGTTTTAGAGATGGTATAGAAACTATTGAGGTACATTTGTGTGTTTGATTATTTTTGGGAAAGAAGTCCTCGTTTCCAATCATCGAAGAAATTCAGTGACTAATTATGTTTATATTGTGAAATATTGACATTGTTACATGATTGTATTGATCTATTGATATAACACATGAAAATATATGTAGTTTATTGTATCTGCTATTGCATGTATGTAGTCTCAGTAAATATTGTTTATTCTCAAATTTTAGATGTCAGGAGAGCTAACTCTTGCATTATCCGAACAAATAAGAAGTATGACGAGCTGGATTCTAACATCACATATTGTTGATAAGAAAAAATCTACTGACGGGAGCAAAAATTTAACGACAGAAACTAGAGAAAATATTCAAGCAGATAAAAATTCAAGTGCTGAGATCAAGATTGGGGAAACTGCTGTGACTCCTGGAGGAGCACTCATCGTAGAGGCAACTCGATTTCAGTCTAATAACGTTGCTTCAAGTGGTCATGACAGTCTAACCTTCCAGACATCTGAAACTTTGGAGATATCATCTGCGCCTTCTTTGTTCTCCAACATCGGTGCCCAACCATTTTCCAGGGAAGCTTGTGAAGTGCACCGAAACGCACATGTACACACCAATTCAGTTGATTCTGAGTTGTCCACTTCAGTAATGCAAGTAAATTTAGGTGCTGCACTTTCTTCAGCAAATCACGTACAGGAAGAATCAGATAAACTTAGTAGACTAAAGTTTGAATATCTCGAAGAGGATGTTATAAACAACTTGGACCTCATTTTCCGAGACTCTGTTCGTAGAGAGCTGTACACAATTAACGAGGCATCTTTGGAAAAGTTGGATAACGTGGAACCATTGTCATCTTGTGCTACCCTTTCGAAGAAAATCAACCATATATCCCACTTGAACAAGTCTTTGGCAAAAGGATCAAATCTTACTGCACGCAATGTGATATTACCTACGGACACAGGTTATGATATAGACATATCATTATTTTTTTTTGGGTAATTGCAGGATATCTGATATGTTCTATTTATGCTTATATCTGATACCCTTTTTCTCCTCCAATTTTTACAGAGAAGTTTGAAGATGAAAAACTTCTTGGATATCGCAGTGGAGTCTTTCTTTCCCAGCAGCAGGACTCAAGAAATAGGAAAGACTCGAGAAATAGGAAAGAGTTAAAAAAGAAGGACACAAACATTTCTCATCAAAATGAATCGAAAAACTTATCCCCATCTTCTGATCCCGAGGACAAGCATAACAATAACAAGCAAAATCGTTCATGGCAATTACGTGTATATGACCAACTTTTGCGGGAAGGCAGGTAGGTCTTCCAATGTACAAATGTTCGGTTTCAAATTATTGTCTTCATATGTTCAATTTATCGGTTTCAAATTTTGTTCTTACCTGACATAAGTATCTATATAAGACAAAACTGTTTGTTATATGCCTCAAAACTGTACATGACATTGTTAATTAAGGCATCCTGTGACTATGGTAAATAGAACTATTATGAGATATCTCTAGCTGAGACCTGTGACTACTGTTATAATGCATGTCTGTGAAAAATATTTTCATACTTTGGTATCAAAATTCTCTATTGTTATAATTGATTATAGGCTAAACGACTGCATAGAATTGCTTGAAGATTTGGAACAGAACAGTTTGTTGGATATGGATAAGGTGAGTTTGCAGTTTGTTAAGTTTCTACAATTATGATGCTCATGAAACGTGTTATTCATTTGTTGAATGTCATGGCTTCAGGTTTATCATGCCAGGTTTTTTGATGTATGCAAGTCTCAGAAAGCTGTTAAGGAGGCATCCCGCTTCATTAGACTTATCTCAAATCCGACCCTGAGTACATTTAATATGTTTATGTCTGTTTGCGCTAGCTCCCAAGATTCAGAAGGTGCCCCCCCCCCCTCTCTCTCTCTCTCAAACTGAAGGGTCCTATATATATACCTCAGTATATTATTGTAGTACTTGAGATACTTCCCCCTCTTGTCTTGGATGTAGGTGCATTTCAAGTTCTAAAACATGTTCAGGAGGTTGGACTGAAAGCCGACTGCAAACTTTACACTACATTGATTTCAACTTGTGCTAAAAGTGGTAAAGTGGATACGATGTTCAAGGTATGGAAATCCATTTTGAAAGGATATTCTATCCGGCTTTAGGTGCCCATTTTAATTGATTGATGAGGTCATGGCATGTGTATTCTCATTTTTTAAAGTAAAATGGTTTTTTATGTTGATAAAAATATTCCTAATATCTATGTGGAGTACACTTTTATGCCTGGTTGGGCTTTATCTAGTGTTGACTGAGATAATATTCCTTAGTAATATTTAAAGCAAAAGAAATGAACTGTGTAAAGCATTAACGTCTCTGATAATTCAGTATTGTGCACTTTGTACTATTGTCTCCAAATTCAGGTTCCTCATCCGATTTATAAAAATTTAGGTTTTCCATGAAATGGTAAATGCTGGAGTTGAACCAAATCTCCACACATATGGTGCACTCATTGATGGTTGTGCTAAAGCTGGTCAAGTTGCTAAGGCTTTTGGTGCCTATGGAATACTCAGATCAAAGGTTATTACACACTTTGGATTTGATCTTCTCTCTTCCATGTCATAATCTAGCAATCCACTTCTTTACTGTAATTCAAATATTATTGTGTCTAACCTGAAATTGCTTGTATATAGTAGAATGTGAAGCCAGACCGAGTAGTATTCAATGCACTTATCACTGCATGCGGTCAATCAGGTGCAGTGGATCGTGCATTTGATGTATTAGCTGAAATGAGGGCAGAGATACAACCCATAGAACCTGATCACATCACTATTGGTGCTCTGATGAAGGCTTGTGCTAGAGCTGATGAGGTCAGTTTTATCTAGGTCCTGCCTGAAACCATTTATCTACTTAATTATTTGATCCTCGTCTATCTGATTAGAATCCTATGTGGGATATTGAACTGTATTAGGTTGATCGGGCGAGAGAGGTCTACAATATGATTCATGAGTTTGGCATCCGCGGCACTGCGGAGCTTTACACTATTGCCGTGAACAGCTGTAGTCACCATGGGGATTGGGAGTTTGCTTGCAGTGTCTATGATGACATGATAAAAAAAGGTGTCGCTCCTGATGAGGTACCTCGGTCTGAATTCTATGTTAGTTTTTGCTTGTGAGAAGCTCCTTTTAACTAGTGATTATTGCATTTAGATCAATTGTTTCAGAATCATGCTAAAATATCTAGGTACCTCTCATAATTCTCTGCTTTCCCTTATACATTTTCTTCATATTGCATTATCAGCTCAACGTGGTAAGTTAATACAATGCTGCGTCTCACTTTTTTCATTTATACAGATGTTTATAAGCGCATTGATAGATGTCGCGGGGCATGCTGGAAAAGTGGATGCTGCATTTGAAATCCTACAAGAAGCTAGGGCTAAAGGAATGCGCATTGGAATCATATCGTACAGCTCCTTGATGGGAGCCTGTAGCAATGTAAGGGCAACTCATCGTGCCTAGAAATTCAGTTACAAAGTTCTTTTGGAATACTATTGTGTTTAATCAAATATTTTTACATAATCACCCATATATGATAAGTTGGACAAATTGGGTGGGTACAAACTTGAGGTTTCTAATGAATGTATTTCTGCACTTGGTCACAACAAATCAGTTCACAGTAGTTCTATTCTTGAAATACTCCTTAGTCTGGTCAGTAAATAAACATTGATTACTATATCTTATTGTTTTTCCCTATTTTCTCTGGAAAGGTGAACATCATTGTTTTAGTATAGACATTAGACAATAGCCAATACTAGCTAAATATCTTGGATTACAAGAGAATATGATTCAATGCATCGCCATGGCTTTTTTATATTAAAAAATGATAGTTAACCTATTGATATTTAAATCACTGCTTTACCTTGTTTTGACAAGTTAACACAAGTTCTCTGCTCCATTCTAGCAACTCCAACGTAGATGGTATATTGAGTTTCTCAGTGATGTAACTATCTGCCAAACATTTTCAGGCTAGCGATTGGAAGAAGGCACTGGAGCTGTATGAGGTCACTAAGAGAATGAAGCTGAAGCCGACAGTCTCAATGATGAATGCCTTGATAACTGCTTTGTGTAAGTTATTCAACACAACCCTTAACACATCACCCTCACGTGCAAAGCAAGTTCAGCTTCACTGAATTTTCTGAAGTTATACTGATAGTACTCAACGTTGTAATATCTAACACAATGTAATTTTTATTCGGGGTAAAAAGGTCATGAAGATAACATAGACTTCTCATGTGGTTCATAGATAAACTAGTTAGATAAAGATTAGTGTAGGAAGAGAATGACTGTGCCAAAAGTTTGATTTAGCGTTGCCCTGCAGGTGATGCGGATCAACTGCAAAAGGCCATGGAAAGTTTATCTGAAATGAAGAGCGTCGGTTTATGCCCAAATACCATAACTTACTCCATTCTTTTAGTGGCTTGTGAAAAGTATTTTACCTTTCTTTATACAATACTAGTATGATTTTTAACTTTGCTTTTCCACATAGAATGGTTGACATTCTATTAAAATACTTTTTTCATCTCTTACCAGAAAGGATGATCTAGAAGCTGGCCTCATGCTTATTTCTCAAGCAAAAAAGGACAAAGTCACTCCTAACCTTGTAATGTGCCGGTGCCTCATAGGTGAGATTTAGGTATTCCATTATCTTTATTTTCTGAGAATTTTATCATGCATAAGGAAATTGGATATGTTAGTCGTATGATTAGCACTGCTAGGCTATTGTGATGCATCTCTATTCTTTTTATGCTTAACGAACTCTTGAGAACATTAATGATAGTTGCCATGTTTCAGTTATAGTATCGAATTGTAGTTTTACATCTCCCTGAATGGTTGATTGTCTCAATTAACTTAATCATGGTGTTGTATTTTTGCTGTCATCTCTGATCTCCTGCTGCTGTTAGTCAAAAACAGATAAAGGGCAAAAGATTGTTTATGTTAGGTACAGTAACACAAATAGAATAATCTCTCTGTTACAGTGCTCATGCAAGATATTCTCATAATTGCATTATTTGGTTATTGAATCACTCTCTTAAGAGTCATGTCGTCTTTGTGTTGCATTACTGTGACGAATTACCATAACATATTGCTTTATTCTAGGTATAACCCGTGCCTATTAATAAGAATAAGTACGAAAAGTATTATGCGTGTAATGAATCTGGATTTCTGTTGGTATATTGTGTTAGTTTTTGTTTTTTTTGACTTCATCAAGTTACTTATCAAGTTTGTCAAATCAAGGTATGTGCTTACGGAGATTCCAAGCAGCTTGTACAGTGGGCGAGCCTGTACTATCTTTCAGCTCGGGTCAAGTTCAGCTTAACAGTAAATGGTACACATTCTTACCATTTTGTAATAATTCCTTTTGTTACTTATTATTTCTAGATGAAATACATCTATCTCTTAAGGTCATTATTCTCGTTCTTCTGTGTACAATAGTGCTCTTACTCTGAAGTGAAACCTTCAGCTGTTTGCATACATTTAAATGGTTGAAAAAACTGTGACATCTTAAAGATTCTGCAAAACCTATTTCTTCTATTTGAACGAGTTTTGTTTCTCTAAAAGTATTCATTTTCATGTGTGATGTTTGTTTTTCTCGTTGATTTTCTGTCTCTAGTATATGCTATTTCTCATTTTCTCTAAGGATAATTTGAAATAGAAAATTAACCTCATTCTCAAACTAATATTGATCAACCTTTTAAAGGAGAAAACTGTAAAAAAGGAATATATGGCTTATGAGATAGCTATATCTCCACAGGACATCCTTGGCGTTGATGGTTTACAGGGAAACAATCATGGCCGGTGTGACACCTACTATGGATGAACTTTCGCAAGTTCTGGGATGCCTAAAGCTCCCTCATGACGCATCTATAAAAAATAGGCTCATTGAGAATCTTGGAGTGAACACTATTGCATCAAAAGGTGCAAGCCTTTATTCCTTGATTGATGGATTTGGGGAATATGATCCCCGCGCTTTTTCTTTAGTTGAGGTCCGTAAACAAATTCCACAAATTCTTTTATCCTATTTAACTTTTTATTGTTTATAACTTGCATCTCATGAAAATTATATGAGGAAGCTTAAAAATATTCTTTGTATCTTTAGGAGGCTGCTTCTCTTGGAACTATACCAGTTGTTTCTTTGAAAGAAAGCCCGATTGTTGTTGATGTGAGAGATTTTCAATTCCATACAGCTGAGGTGAGATCATTTTAAATAACAAGCATGTTTTGTTTCAACTATCGTAGAGGCATTATTCTTTACTTGTCTACTTTAAATTCCACCCTTTCTTAATTGACGCGCTATCATTTTATTACATACTGGTAAATGTAAATCCTTTCTGATGGCTTCATTCCAAGTGAATCTTGGTCACCTCTTCCTTTATGGTTCACATTAACAAACAAATTATTAGTTGTATATGGAGCGGAATGAGAATTTTTTCATTTTTGTTATAAGAGAATTGCGTCGTATATACGCATCATCGTCTGTTATAGGTATTTGTGACTCAGCCAGGTTGTTGGTTGAAACTTGTAAATATACCACACAGTATTACTTCCTCCGTATTTCGGCCCTCACCCATACCTGCATACACACTTTAAGCTAGTATTAACCGAGTGCCATTTTATGCTGTCATTTATACGTGTAACTAAATTGAGCTGCAAATATTGGTCAGGTGTACCTATTGACGGTTCTGAAAGGTCTCAAGCATCGCTTGGCTGCTGGTACAAGCTTAAACTTCTTTTGATTACTTAGTGTCTCTGAATGAACTTTTCGTTTTTAGTGGCTGCTAGTAATAGCTCGTAAAAATATTGGGCATGCACTGCAAATGGTTATCAAATCGGCAAAACTTGAACTATATGAAAACCAAGATGACATTCTGGAAGACTAGAGAAACTGTTTGAAAATGGGACTAGAATTATCTGATTGCAGTGTTTTGGTTCAAAATGGGTAAAAACAAGAAAATTTGTTCTTAGGCACATATGGATGTATAGTATGAATTCATTAGGTGCATATATTGAATTTTCTTGTTGCTCTCTCTATCCCTCTATTTAACATATTCTTACTGAACTTGGACAGGTGTAAAGTTGCCTAATGTACTTGTTCTGCTGCCCGTCGAACCGACACAGATTCAGACTTCTGCAGGGGAGAAAATGATTAATTTTGCGGACAGGTGAGAGCATCTTCTTTTATCTGATTGGGCCAATTATACGAGATTGTACAGTTTTACTTAAATTGGGGAGGGATGTGTAGTGGTTCTGGCAGCGAATGACACTTGAACCCTTGGTTTCTATGTGCGGATTCACAGAGCCTTCATGAGTGGATTTTCTGAATATGAACTTTGTGTTGAACCAAGGAAATCTTTACGTGGCATCTTAGATAGGCTACAAACGTGACAATTTATGCAAATTTACTCTATTCAAGAACATAAGCAATTGGAGTGAATTGTAGTTCCAGAAAGCAACGGAATATATGGTGAACAAGGTTGAACTATTTCAAGGTCGTAAAATAATATAGATTCAAAATGAGTATTGAACTTCTAGTAAGAATTTGAGGTTACTGACATGTAAATCCATTCATGGTACTAATTTGCGGGTGACATACTCATTTTAGCAACGGATAAATTGTTATGCATTAGTTTAGAATTTAATGTCAAAAAAGAATTATCCTCGGAAGTTTTTTGTTGCACTTGGAAAGATGTTATACATATTTTCATTTGACTTTTAGCACTTCAATTGTTGATTATTCAATACGAGTGACTTGTTTTCTCTATCTTTAATAAGGTTGAAAAGAAAAGCTGAAAATATTCGTATTTGCTCAACAGGAGAAGCCAAGCATTGGCAGCTCTACTGAGGAGACTCGGACTATCTTATCAAGGAAATGAATCATTCGGAAAGATGAAACTAAATGGTCTTACCATAAGAATGTGGTTACAGCCGGAGCTTGGTACTCCTTTCGGTGGAAAGAAAATAGATCGGGGCCCACCCCTTAGACGTCTAGGCTCAGACCTAAGCCGTCAACGGCAAAAAATCAGAACTGGCCATTTGTCGTTTTAATGAGGTTGAGATATATTGGTGTATTGCAAGGAATACATTTACTTAATAATTTATAATTTACAATAACTTTGTATGCCTAACACTACATGATCCTGCCATAAGTTGATATTAACGGCTTATTGTCTTCTATGCAGAAATATGGCGAAATTTTCTTTAGTATTTTCAAGGAAGAAGCGCGGAAATATGTTGCGGGGAGTATTTTGTACATGAGCTGGAAACCCTTGAGAGGGTTTGAGCTATTCAGAGTTGAAGCACACAGTTCTTAAGGATTTTTATTTATTTTTAATTTTATTTTTTTGGAGTTCTATGAGTTCAAATTGGAAGGGTATATATTGTCAGTGAAAATAAGGATGGCATCTCTGCGAGTACGGTTGGTCGTGTTGTAATGTATGCAGTATTGAACAAATACAGTGCCATTTTGACTGTGCGATTCTTTTCTATAATGAATGTGGCAGTCAATAATTATGGGAACTCTCCAGAAGACTTGCTGGTTTCTGGATAGTTGTATCCATTTTTGTATATTGACCAGCATCTGGTGTAGGTTTTTGAATTTTGAGAGTTGATATAAGGGATTTGGTATCGAACTTTGTATAACTAGCAAAATAATCTAGTTTATATATTTATCTAATTTTACATACTTTTTTGCATGGGTCTACACCTCAGAAAACTAATAATCAAAACTGTTGGAGTGCTGATTAATTTTCTTGGATCATGACAGCTGCATTCTTGAAGTGAGTTCGAGAAAGGTATTTTCACTGCACGGAATTGTTAGACCTCCCATTGGATGACTGAAGCCAAATTCTTCCTCTGCTCGTCTCAACAAATCTTGAAACGAAGGGTGATTCAGGTACGATAAGGGAACCACATACCTTTTCCTCTGAACTCTCTCTCCTACGTAAACTGCCAGGTGGCCCTTAGGCACATCTGATTGATTTTTGTTGAGAAAGGATTGTAGCTTGTAGAATTGCTTGGCATTCGAAATCAACGATGGTAAGCGAATAATAGCCATATCTTGTTTTGAGGGTTTGATTTGTTTACTCTGGATTTAGCTCTAGTTGTTGTTGCACTGTGAATTCTTGAAGATTGAGGATGCCTATTTATATACAAATATTTACTTATTAATTTATGCATAATATTTATATATATTATAATTGCTAGAGCTGGAATTTGGGGGCTCTGATACTTTTTAAGAGGGGGTCTACATTACCAAGGAGGTGCACATGGCTTCTGTCACGAAATTCCCAAAAAAAGAAAAAAGAAAAAAATAAAGTTTCTTATCCATAGATCATCTTCACATGGTTTAGGAATCCCACTTGCACCTTTCAAGTTTATATCATGAATCTAAATATGCTTTTATTACAGGTTCCGGATAAAAAGGGGCAACATATAACCCGGAGTTGCTTAACCGTTTACATGGTATGTTCTAAATATTTGTGTAATGATTTGAATTTAATTATATAAATCTTTTTGATGGGTCCAAGTATTTTTAATCCACCTACCAGCATAATATGCCCCCACCTTTTGTTGCAACTGTTATAGAGGATAGATTTCCTTCATTTTGAAAAGCAGTTATATGACTCATTGGCCTTGCCCACCGTATTTCATTTCTGGTATGTCTTATTCTTAATAAAATATTTTAATCGTAAGTTTTGATAATAAATTGATTTACTATCTATTATTTGTGGACAATTTAGGGTCCATATAGTAATTGTAGGGCCGGAGTTGGCTCTTACCCTCCTTACAAGAATGGTACATCTGCATGCATTATTCAGGTCAGGGTTCGTTTAACTTAATATTACTATCCCGAACTTGTGAGGATTTAATTTCGTTTTAGTGCGTCACCATTGCCCATGGTTTTAATTTGTCTTGATCATGTCACGACTTGATTATATATAAAAAAATCAGTAAATTAACAGACGGGCTTTTAACATGATATAATCGTAAGTTTAAGCTAGCAATGACAGAATTTTAGTTTCATTTTTAAGAAGTGGTGGATTATATGAATCTGTGAGCTGACAAGTTGGATGAAAATATAATTCTTTTCGTAATATCTACATACCGCATGTGGCATATTTATTAGCTAATGTATATATGGATATAACAATTGGTTTAAGACTTGAGAGCGGAGTCGTATATTTATCGTAAACATACGCGATTTGTATGGGCTGTTCTCATAATAGAAAACTAAATAAATATTAGTATAATGTGGATGGATGGGTTTGGTTTAAATTTAAGAAGATGAGGCAGCTGCACGATATGATATCACCCTTGTCTCTTAATCCTCCTTTTTTTTTTGTTTATTTAAAGTGAGTTTTTGGTGTCGATCACGCATAATATGTATATATAATATATATCTTTCTGGCAACTGCATTTCGATTTTAATATCACTAACTTTGCAGCTAGAAAAAATAAGTCAGAAATAAACACGGTCGTAATAAAATTTGAAGTTTAAAAATAGCCTTGAAGTTATTCTATGAATTAACTACCTATTTCACTAGAAGTGTGTGTTTGATCCTCTTCCCTTTTTTTTTCTTTTTTTTTTCTTTTTTTTTTTTTGGGTAAATTACAATCACCCCCATATATGGTCAAATTACGAAAACCCCCCTCCCGTTTTGGTAATTACAACCACCCCTCAACTATAAATCTTTTTACACGTCCACCCTTGCGATTTCAATTTAGTGGAATCTTCTAGATTATACAGAATACTCTCAATTTTGGACCCGTTTTATCCCATTCGAGCTCCACATTTTGAAGCTAGATGATCATAAGGACGTGTTTTTTGGCCTGTTGTATATCAGATTCTGGTGCATCAGAAACTGTATTTTTGCACAAAACGAGTACAAACTAGAGAACGTTCCACGGAATCTAGATGATTATGTTGAATTTGACACTTAAGAATGGAGATGTCAGAAGTTTATAGTTGATGGGTATAAGTAATTTTTCAAATATTGAAGGGTTTTTTCATAATTCGACCATACCTCAGGGGTGGTTGTAATTTACCCTTTTTTTCGTTTTTTTACCTTTTGTGCTTCAAGCATATTCTTTGATCCTTGCGTTATTGTGTTCTTGAGTTCTTGAGTTGAGGCAATCATCTTCCCCAATTGTCAATCAAAAAAATCAAATAAACGCCCACTGTTTTCCTCATCTGTCATACACAAATTGATGATATAATAAAAAAATAAATGAAAAAAATCTGTTATACATATATATATATATATATATATATATATTAATATTTATTAATTATTATTTGAAATAATAAAAATATCCATTTGTAGCTAGTGAAGTGACAAGACCTATTTTCTCTAACTAACCCAGCATTTAAATGTCCTTGACCATACCTTACAGCGCACCCACACACACAACACACAGTGTGGATGTCTGCATGTCCTTTAGAAGTACAAGTTGTAATATTTTATGACTAACCAATAATAAGGCACAATTATTTATGTATACTCTCTCTAGCTAGCCTAGATACACCACTTGATTCTCATTAAAAAAAAAGGGTAAATTGCACTTAACCCCCTTGTGGTTTGGACATTTTGCACATAACCCCCTTATGGTATGAATTTAGGCACATAACCCCCTTGTGGTTTTGACATTTTGCACATGACCTCCTTATGGTATGAAATTAGGCACATAACCCCCTTGTGGTTTTGAAATTTTGCACATGACCCCCTTATGGTATGAAATTAGCACATAACCCCCTTGAATAGAAAACTAAAAAAGACAAAAATACCCCTATCAAGTCAAAAGTTCTTGTTTTAATTTAAAACTAATTATTCTATAAAATGAAATGCTTAATGTATTTTTTTGTAAAATGAGAAATATAATATATTATTGTGTTTTTTTCTATTTTACCGCACATATATTTTTTCTAATTTAATTTTCATTTCAACTTCAGAGAAATGTTTTTTTTAGATTTTTCCAAAAGAATAAAAAAAATAAAGACTTTGTTTCTTAAAAAAATTAAAATTCGATAACAGCTATAATATAATATATTATATAGAAAATAGTAATATAATAATCATAAATAATGATAATGTTAAATATTTTCAAATTGATTTTTAAAATCGAATAAATTGTCAATCGTACAATAACTAGCATTGTATACCATTTGTGCTGTAAAATTAAAAAAACACAATAATATATTATATTTCTCATTTTACAAAAAATACATTAAACTTTTCATTTTATAGAATAATTATTTTAAAATTAAAACAAGAATTTTTGACTTGATAGGGGTAATTTAGTCTTTTCCAGTTTTCTATTCAAGGGGGTTATGTGCTAATTTCATACCATAAGGGGGTTATGTGCAAAATTTCAAAACCACAAGGGGGTTATGTGCCTAATTTTATACCATAAGGGGGTCATGTGCAAAATGTCCAAACCACAAGGGGGTTATGTGCCAAAATTCATACCATAAGAGGGTCATGTGCAAAATGTCCAAACCACAAGGGGGTTAAGTGCTATTTACCCAAAAATAGATACACCACTTGCTTATGAACTGCTATTGTATTTGTATGTATGGTCGGTCTTATTATAATACTAATTCTGGCTCAACAATTGGGTCTTTCTTTCTCTAGATCTTTTGTACTGCCATGTCACATGCACGCATATTGCCAATGTATTATATTGTTTCCTACTTTTGAAAATAATGTCTTAATCGAAAAGAAAAAAAAAATGTGGAGGAAAAAAAGGTGGATATTACAAATTTGACATTGATGAGTAGTGTTCAATTTCATGCTAGATCAGTTTTTCTTAATTTTAAAATAAATAAATAATTATTTGCTGTCCTTGAGGAGTGTTGTTGGTTATGAGTTATGACGAAAGAGATTTAAATACTACGTGATTTGTGCCTGACACCAAAATTATTTATTAATATATCTCTGACATAATCAATGATGAGTTCTTGAATATTATGTGTTACGGCCTTAGATCTAGAGTAACTTTTTGAACCATGTTTCACTTCATTTTTTGTTACATGCTTGATTTATGAAGCTTAAATTTAGTCGATTTTTGTCTTAATTTGTTGGATAAAAACTCATGAATTTTCGAGAAATTTACTGCCGTGTTCCGAAAACACAAAGGAAAAAAAATTTATGGTTCGTTACGCTGAAATGCGCTTGATCTCAGTTCCTAATTGATCTAAGAAAAGTATGTTCATTTCTGTGATGGCAAAAGAAACTGTCATGTTCATATACATTTGCTATAGAAAAGGACTTAAAAGAGAAAAAAAGAAAGAAAAAAAATTAAATTAGGCAGAACACAAATTTGGTTGCCTCAATCACTATTAATTACTACAGCAAATTTTGAGAGAAAAAGCTTCAAACTAAATCTATCAGATAACAGCATATATTTATATATATACATACATACATACATATGTATATATATATAAATCAAGAAGAAGAATTTAGTATAGTGATAAGGCTTAAGAAGTAATCCTCGGTGCATGGGATTGTGAGGCCTCCCATTGGATGTTCGTATCCGAATTCCTCTTCTGCCCAATGCAACAACTCTTGGAACAATGGTTGATTCAAGTAAGATAGCGGTACAACGAACCGCCTGTGACTTTCCCCTACGTAAACTGCAAAATGGCCTTTCGGTACGTCACAACATGTCGTTGTAGAAAAGCTCCCGTTCTTGGAGGAAATCGTCCGACGCAGTTTCTTCTTTGCATGAGCTATCCCTGTTAGCTTGATTCCCATTTTTAGTAATAAAAACAAATTATAGGTAACGATTTGGAAAGTCGAGAATAATTCTCGAGTGATCTCACAAGAATATATGGTTTGAAATTTGAATTGATCTCGTTTGTTGAGCAGGAAGAAGTTATATATATGTATGTATATATATATATATAATAATGTATGTAAGTATATATTATTAGGCTTTAATTTGAAAATTAAGATGTAGAGAATTAGGAAAGTTGGTAGACATATCAGATGAAGTAACAGGCAAAGGATCACATGGTTTTGACTAATCTGTAGCATGACATATTGGCCTACCACCTCAGGGAACCAATTACAACAAGAAATAAATAAATAAATAATAAATAAATAAATAAATAAATAAATAACAAGAACAAAAAATGCAACTAGTTTGACAAATTAAATTTTTTTTTTCTAATGTTTTACATGCTGTTCTGCACAAACAACCACTCAATCAAACTTTCAAAATTCTTGCATGGTTTAGTTATTGATGATCAAAGAAGATAGAAATTAAAGGTTTTATTTTTTTTATATATATATATATTTTTTTTTTCAGTAGAGAAGCATTGAATTTAGACTTGCGCACTTTTCGCTAGTGTAGCAAGTAGCGAATATTGTCCAAGAATATTAGAGGCCCTTGTAATAATGATTCATTGTCGTCCCCAACGAATTATGTGATCTAAAGTAATGCCCTTCTTCAATTCATGTGCATAATTTCTCCGGTAGATGCTGTATTGGTCGTTCGAACTTTCTAATCATGTAGTTGAAAATTCACATCGACGGAGCAAAATTTTCAAACAGCCAAGTAATAATTAGGACAACTAGCGAGTAATTAGTACTAAAAGGAACTAGTTAATGGTATACTTGTTTAATTTGAAGACATCTTATCCAGTAATGGAAATATTAGTTAAGAATTGATTCATCGGCCATTTTTGTTTTTTCGTGTTTCCTTCGAGTTAAGCAGCACCACTTGATCAGTTAAGAAATATTAATATAGGGCAAATGGTGTATGAAAAAAAATTCAATTTAAGTTAGATACATGTCGGATCGATCGATTTTTTATTTTATTTTTTATATATGAATAGATTAAATTAGCCACATAAAATGACATTTAATTAATTTCTGTTTGGAAGGATAAGGCTAAGTATATATATATATGACAAGTACTCTTTAGCATGTCACAAACATTGTGAAGACAAATTGTGTATATCAATTAATTAGCCCATAATATTGACTCAATAAAAATCCCCTTTATATATATATTTTCATTAATATGTTCTTTCAGTTCATACTTGGTGTTCTTGAACACATGCATTAAATATACATATACATCTATATATCTATATATTGACTTTTGAAGTCAACCCTTTTCTGGGTGGTGGCTACATATTCTAATTCAGAAAATATATATTTAATTTTCTGAATCTCTATCAGGTAAGGCTACTGATTTTACATAGATATGAGCAAACCCTAGATTTACTTTTGTTATGTATGAATTAATTAAGGTAGGACCGATCTTTTATAAAGGTTAATTAACGGATAATTTATCGACTATTATCGAACATTCAGATGTTGTTTTAGGCGGTTTTCGGGCCCTATTATATGCCGATGAAATAATTAATAAGCTTTTAAATCAGTCCTTATCACCATAATTCATTTGAAGGGGCAAATTTTGCTGTTTGTTGTGCTAAGTGGTAGGGTTAGTATTGCACTTCAACATATATCTATATCTATATCTATATATTATATATACATACACATATGCATGCAATATAATTTCTTGATAATTATTAGAAAATGGAAAGCAAAAGCATGTGAGGTATCATGTGCCATTGTCCTTTGAAGAACTATTTCTGAAATGGGTGCTCCACCACCAGTTTAAAAACATTTGCAGAAGACAGAAATTTGGCCTATATTGAAATAAGTGTGTGTGTATCTATATCTATTTTTATGTATGTATGTACACACACATGAACAATTCAAACCAAACCACTCTAAATTGTCTTTCATAAATAACTATATATGCAAGTCCTCAGGGGTTGAGTTGAAAATAATCACAAATTTTACCAACGTAACCCTAAAAAAATTACCCTCTTGAAAGTACGGGCACATTTGGCTAAACTTATTTTAAACTGCTCATAAGCTCGTACGTCATGATAAGCTGTTTTAAGAGATGATAAGTTGTTACGTCTTATTTTTACAATTAATTTTTGAAGTGTTTGGATAATGAGCTTATAAGCTATTTTTACTTTTATTTGCTCTCCAACAACTTTTTTATTTTTTAAAGATCTTTTTTTTTTAAATTACCAAACAATTTGAAAGAGCTTATAAGTTCTTAAGCATCTTATAAGCTCTTCATATAACAACTTATAAGTTTAGCCAAACACCTAGCTCCTAAATCGATCAAGGCACCATCTTTTTCCTTTCTTTTTTTGCTGCAATTTAGATGTGTAAAAATGAATTCCTTTGATCTGCTTCTGTAAGGTGCAGTACTAAATCATAAGTTAAAAAAACAAAAAAAAAAAAAAAGGACAAATTAATGATGGTAAGAATATTGTAATAATAATTCATGGATAAGAGTAGTTTACAACGAAAGAATTACGAATCTGGTCTCGATTACAAAATCGGCGACACTACTAATCTAGCTAGTAAACTCAGTTTTTCCAAGTTCTTGAAATAAATAGATAAATAAATAAAAAATCTATTTCTACAATATACATATATATGAACTTGTTCTTCATTCTGAACTAAGTTGAGAAGTGAGGCTTAGAAAGTAATCTTCATTGCATGGAATTGTGAGGCCTCCCATTGGATGATTGTATCCAAACTCTTCTTCAGCCAAATGCAGCAAATCTTGGAACATCGGATTGTTAAGGTAACATATCGGGATCACAAATCTTCGGTGCATTGGACCGACATACACCGGAAAGTGCCCTTTCGGGACATCGTTGTAAACCGAAAAAACATTTGCTAATTTTCTCGGGGAAATAGTTCTCCTGAGTCTTTCTTTGGTCTGAGCTAACAAAAATCCCATTTTTTTTTTTTTTTTTGGAATAGCAGAACTAATTGGTAGGAACTTGAGGGAGTTGAACTGTAGAGTGTTTTTTGTGAGGTGATGAGGGAATATGAGTGTGTGTTTATGTATATATAGGGGCAAACCAAATGAAGCCTGGATGAAAGGTAAGAAAATGTAGCAAGACATATGATCAAGTTATATATAATTAATTATTGGGAAAGAATCATCACATGGAATTTCTTGACTAAAAACTATGGGAATTGATAATAAATAAATAAATAAAATAAATAAATAAATAAAAACATTTATGGCCTACCATAGTAAAGAAGCAACAATGAGAAATGCAAGTTGGAAGTATATATGTATTGTCCTAATATTGAAAATCATGTTGTGGACAACAAAATCTCAATCAAATTAATTAATAATTAAAGATGCTTTTTTCTTGATTATTATGATGAGAGATAGATACAGAAGGGACATGAGCCTTCAATTTCTATATATTTCACTTTTTCAGATTCATTGAATTAAGATTTTTCGGTTTTTATTTATTATTATTATTATTATTATTATTATTATTAATTTTTATTTTTATTTTCTTGTAATGTGCTAGTGAACAAATGAAAACTTGGTGGGGATTTTGATACGATATATACAAATTAAAGTGTCAACTATATTTTAATTTTCCAATTGGTTTTGTAAATTGACTACACATGCATCCATCCACCTTAATTTTATTTTTTTTTAAATTTCATATTGTATATGTCATTGTTCTAGCAGTATCTAATATAATTCCATTCATGCATGCAATGTAAATAATTAATTAATTGTGTGATTGATGTTTTATTTCAAGGTACTTAATTTCTTATAATTTATTTTAATTATTATAACTGATCAGGAAACTGTGCATCGTCAAAGGTGTGTATCGTAGTGAATGAAAGAAGAAGGTGAAGGGAAATCGCCATTCTTATTTAATATGGTAATTATTTTCATACAAGTAAATTGAAATTAAAAAATTGGGAATAATTTGTTGGATGCGGGCTTTTAAATCATGAGCCAGGCCCAAATTAGAATGCGATCCGCCCCGATTAAGTTATTGGGCCAAAGATCCGCCCACCCAATTAGGGTTGTTGCGCTCGAATTGCAGCCCAAATAATTTAAAATCTCAATAAAACTCACCTATCCCTCATTTTCTCTCTCTCTTCTCTCTTGCCCTTCACCACCACTCGTACGTCGCCGACGCCATGCCGAAGCATTACAGGCCCGCCGTAAGTTCCGATTTCGCCGCCGCAGCTTCTCAATCGCTAACCTAATACTGTTAACTCTTGTTTCTTAACTTGTTTTTTTTTTCCAGGGAAAGAAAAAGGAAGGAAATGCGGCGAAATATGTCACCCGAACTCAGGCTGTAAAATACCTCCAAATCAGCCTTCCAGTTTTCAGGTTTGGTTTAATTTATTTCTGAATATTTTGACAATTTGTTTTGTAACTTGTGTCATAATCAGTTCCCAGCCATTGAAATCGGTGGTGATATACTAGTTCAAGGTTTATTTAAGTTTAAATGCTACAATCCAGTAAAAAAAAAGTGTGCATCCTGAAATATCTGTAATTTTTTTTATTAACATGGATTAATTTGTTGCGGTGATATTTGTATAGGATTTTTAGCATGTTTTTTTTAGCTTATAAAGGTGTTTTTATTTGTAATTTCCTTTAATCTGTATTTAAACATTTTACAGAGTTTGGGTTCTCCTTAGTTTTTTCTATTGTCAAGGATAATTATGCATCCATGCATCCACCTTCGATTTTGTTTAAAACAAATTACTTGTTATGTCATTGGTCTAGCGATGAAATTGTGTGATGTTTTGTATCAATGCGAGTAATTTCTTACGAGATTTTCACAACTCAGGAAACTATGTATCCTGAAAGGTGTGTTTCCTCGGGTACCGAAGAAGAAGGTGAAGGGAAATCACCATTCTTATTATCATATGAAAGATATCATGTTCCTCAAACACGAGCCCTTGCTGGAGAAATTGAGAGACATACGAACTTATGATAAGAAGATAAAGAAGGCCGTGTCAAAGAAGAATAGGGACCTCGCCGAACGTTTGTTGACACGAAAGCCCTCTTACACACTTGACATGCTTGTTAGAGAGAGGTGGAGTTCAGCTTTCTTATTACTTTTGTGCTTTTTCTTTTTTGTGCTTGGTTTTTCTATGGTGTTGGTTAGTGTTGTTCATTTACTGTTACTCTTGCTCGGCTTTTAGGTATCCGAAATTCATTGATGCACTGAGGGATCTTGATGACTGTCTTAGTATGGTACATCTTTTTGCTGCATTGCCTGCTGTGGATAGGGCTGTAGATGGAGAAAAGATACCTGTAGAACGTGTCCATAATTGCAGGAGGTAACTGCTTCTTTCATCGTTATTCATTTCTTTTTAACTTAATTTTTTTCTGTTTTCCATATGTAAATTTTCATGTATGTAAAACGATTGTGTTGATCTTGTTTCTGTGTATGTTTTGATTCAATGACGGTTCTAGGTTGAGTCATGAGTGGCTGGCTTACATTTCTCGAACCCATAAACTGAGGAAGACGTTCATTTCTGTTAAAGGAATATATTACCAAGTATGTATGATATGTAATTCTTAAGTTCCTATGAATGTATCGACTCGCTTCTTTTTGTTGGCTGTGATTGCATCATCCTGTTTATAATTACAGGCAGAGGTTGAGGGGCAAATAGTTACTTGGTTAACTCCACATGCATTGCAACAAGTACTGCCAGAAGTTGATTATAGAGTCTTGCTAACATTTTTGGAATTTTATGAGGTTAGTTCATCTCTTAGACATTTATGGTGTAATTGTTGTTCTTTATTTACCTTTCTATGGCTGAACTTTTTGTGCGTGCAAAAACAAAATATGTTCAATTAAGCCTGCGGTAGGACTAATTTATCTCTCTTAAAGAAAATGATTGGTTAAGAGCTCATTTGGATTTTAATGATTCCTTTCTCTCTCTCTTGTCGGTCATTTGTACCAAAATTTAGTTGAATAGTCCATGAATTGATTCTTCACCGAATTAGATGATTTTGAAATAATCTATGAATATGTATCTTTATCTTGAACCATTTTAATCTATTGTTTGCAGACTCTTCTTGCATTTGTCAATTACAAACTTTATCGTTCAATAAATGTGAGCTATCCACCCATTCTCGATCCCCGGCTTGAAGCTCTGGCTGCAGGTTTGTTTTATCTTTTGTTATCTAGGTTCCAATCTATTCTTTTGTTGCTTAATAGATTCTGATATTGATGTTGGAATTATGCAGATCTTTACGCGTTGTCAAGATACTTCGATGCCAATGGTAAGTCTAAGCAAATTGAAAACCAGCAGGAGGGAACAAACCTTGATGAGTCTGAAGTTAGACTTGCCCAGCTTCATCAACAACTCCCTTCTAATGAACCTGGTGCTTTGATGCACCTGCTTGATGACGGTTCTAATAAAGAGGATGAAGATTTAGAAACACGGGAATGTAAAAGTCTCTTTAAGAACGTGAAATTCTTCTTGAGTCGTGAGGTGAGCCGCCATGACTTACTTGCTATACTATACTATTACATTTATTTATTTTCATATATGATGTTTGCAACAACTATATGCATTAGGAAGTACTATGGGATTCACTATGAAATCATCATGGTTTGATATAACCATACTAAAATGGCGTTCCTTACATTGTTGCATTTGGTAGTGGTTTTTATACTCAATGATTTAAAATTTCCGTCATAGAAAATCTTTTATTTTGTTTTTTTCATTGAGAATTTGTTGCTTCCAATATGCACATTCTATCTCCTCTTTGTACATAATATTTCTTGATTCTGTAATTAATATGCTTTCTCTCTCATTTCCAAATGTTTCTTTTTCAGGTTCCGAGAGAGTCGTTGCTCTTTGTTATCCCTGCTTTTGGCGGCACAGTTTCTTGGGAAGGCGAAGGAGCACCGTTTGATGAGTCTGACGACAGCATCACCCATCAGGTCTGTAATTCCACATGCTTTTATGAATACGTTTGTATGTGATGACTCCATAATATTGTTAATTAATTTCTGTTGGTCAGACTTATGATTCTTTAATTATGACAAATTTCTTAACAAGGTAAATTTTACTCTGAAATTAAATATAAATTTTATTTATAGTTTTACCAACCTTTTCATCTTACAAGGTATTATATGAGTCGATATATATTGGCATTTCTTAGTGTTACCTACTGGTGGGATCCGCCTGTATATCTCGCATAATTATTTTTTCCCTATAGTATTAGTGGAGATAAATTCAAATCACCTGTAGGTGTGTGGGTTTAGGAATTAATCGTGTTGGTTGCTAGGAGAGGATGGTTATATTTCAACACTATTAAACTTGCAGAAATTTGTTTGAGGTTTAATTCTGTTTTTGTGCAGGTCGTTGATAGGCCAATACAAGGGCGCAGATTCCTTTCCAGGGAATATGTTCAGCCACAGTGGGTGTATGACTGTGTAAATGCACGCATCTTATTGCCCACTGATAAATATATGGTGGGATGGTAAGTTCCGGAACAATTTCATCTAGCATCTTTTTTTCAATTCCCTTCCACCTTTTTAAATTGCTAGCCTGCAAGATATGAATTGTGACCTGTACGTAGCTCATTTTTATTTTGATGTGACTGAATTTCTGAGTTTTTTTATATATATAATACTTATATAGAATGAGGATCTTAGTCATGTTTACAATTATTTGGGCTGGCTCTTTGTTCTTTAAGCTATTACATTTTCCTTAAAAGGTCTGCTTCATTTATTACAGCGACAAATTTTTGACATTTCTACATTTGAATTTCGTATTTTGACAGTATTCCTCCACCGCACTTGTCTCCATTCGTTGATAATGAAGCAGAAGGCCATGTCCCCGATTATGCAGAAGCCGTAGAACGAATTAAGGCTGCAGGAAGAAAAGAAGTCCTACCATTGCCTGGCACTGGAATAGAAGATTTAGATGACCCTCAGGGTTTACTTGTTAGTGACCGCCAAGAAGCTATTGAAGCTGCTAAGAGAAAACAACAGGTAATATATTATTTTAAGATTTATTTCATTACTAAATCTCGTCGATGGTGATTTCTTGGCTATAAAATACTATTTTTTTTTTTTGAAGATTTCAATGCTGGAGAAACAGTACCTTGATGAGCTTAAACTAGAGCTCAAAGGTGCCCCGTTATCTGATGTTCCTAAAGAAATTGAGGTTAAGGATGCTGTAGGAGACGCCATATCTGATGTACAGCAAATTGCGGATGATGTATCTAATATGTCGAAGGTTGTAATGCCCCGCAAGAAGCGAAAGCTTCTAGAAGCTATGGAGGTGAGGATGTTAATCATTTTTTTTTCTTTATATACGGATTTTTTTCGGTAAAAATATCATTAGTCTTCTTCTTCGTGATAAGCTGTGAAGAAAAAAAATCCTTTCTGCATCTCGTTTATTTATATTGTATCATTTTGTTTTGCTGTTCAAATGTAGGAAAGCAAACTACCTTCTTGAAATATAGTAAGATCATATTTATGTTGTTGCTTACATGTGTTACTGCTTCTTATTCAGATGAGCAAGGAGAGGAAACGGTCAAGCGTAAATCGTCTGAAGGAAAGGAAGAAGAACATTGACGAAGCCAAGAACCTTGCATGAATATTCTCGTAATTGAGATAGTTTTGTACGATGAATTTTAAATTATAAAATGTGTTTATCTTGCGTAGATTTTTTTTGATAACTTAATGTTGTATCTTAGATGAACCCTGGAATTTTGCTTTAGTACTCCATTTTTGACAATTTATTCGTTTGTTCTGAATTCGGGATATCAAAAGGAAAACAATATTGTGAGACGAATGTAGTTCACATGTAATCAAACTGACAGTGTATTCACTACTGTTATTGTTTAGTTGGCCAGAAACAACTAACTGTGAGTAATCAAGAATCGCATGTCAACCCAATGATCGATATATGCAGTCCCGCTTGTTTTCACGTATTTCGGATAGTACTATGGTACATTATAGAAGGTTTAATAAAGAACATTTAGTTATCAATTGAATTACTCCCCTAAGCTAATAAAACCTGTCAGAAGCACATCCAACAAAGCTGTATAAAGGTAAAATCTTGTCACCATAATATTTCCAAGAAATCTAATTCTTTCATATCCTGGAGAAATGAATACATTAAAAAGAATTTATCGAACTTCTATCAAAAAAAATTACTATTAATTCTTTCCGAGAATACATTTTGTACCGGGACAAAGTATCTTCTGTGTGTACAAATAGGAAAAATGTGTAAAGAATCAAGCTAACAAAAGTTCTATTGCTCTAACACCTAGTATATGTATATATCATGTTCTCCTCAAGTGAGAGGTGAGATCAATGAATAACTCTTCACTGCAAGGAATAGTAAGGCCACCCATCGGATGGTGGAATCCGAATTCTTGTTCGGCTTGGCATAACAATTCTTGAAACAAAGGATTGTTCAAATACGATAGTGGAATAACAAAGCGCTTCTTTTCACTTTCTCCGACATAAACCGCTAAATGCCCCTTTGGAACTTCGTTTGATCTCTTTTCAGATGATAAAGATCGTCTAAGAATTTTGTGAATAGCCATCGATTTGTTATAGTGAATCTTGGTGAAGTTGAAGATGAAAATGGAAGAATGTATATGAGAGTTGTGTGAAAGCAAGATGAATATGAGGATTGAGTTTTGAAATATATATATAGATGAAGTAGTACTTGTATATATATACAAATGAGAATCAAGTTGGATTGAATGGTGATGAATAGGCCAAAGGGTATGTGGTGCCTAGCAAACTTGAACAAACAAAAGCACATGAACAATCACATTATTCCTACCATCTCCAACAAGAAAACCCCATATAAGACCTTCTCAATTAAATGTGGCATAACTTAAGTTGCAATATTTAATTTAGAAAATAATGTTTACCACGAAACATAATCACATGATTTGCCGATTTCTTCAACCCCTTCACCTCTTGTGTGTATGTGCCTAACGCATATGTGTGGACCGTTATGTTTTGATTAATTATAAACAAATTAGCAGAGACCATTAGATAGAGTTTGGTGGCCCTGGCATTTCATTCAATATGTTTATACGGATTTTACGGTTGTTGTCATCTGTATCATGACATAATATGAAATTAAATTAATTGAACTTGTTAATGTTTTTTAGATGAAACGAGGCATCACAATTTATTATCCAATTGAATAGTGTGGGGTCTTTTGAGGCCTATTTCGCATCTTGTGCTTATGTCCCTTGAGTCTAACAGACCATCACATAAAATTTATGAAATACAACATTTCTATTACACCTATATATACACAACACATTTCTCGGACATAACAACTCATCCAAAAGCATTAGCTTCCTCTGCTTTGATCACTTATTTCACACAAAAAAAATCTTGATTTTTATTTTCTATTTCACCTCAGAAAGATTTAGTTTGAATACTATAATGGCTATTCGACAAATGCTTAGACGGTCTTTATCATCCGAAAAGAGATTGAACGAAGTTCCAAAGGGGCATTTAGCTGTTTATGTCGGGCAAAATGAGAAGAAGCGTTTTGTAATTCCGTTATCATATTTGAACCACCCTTCATTTCAAGAACTACTATCTCATGCCGAAGAAGAATTTGGATTCCATCATCCAATGGGTGGTCTCACAATTCCTTGCAGTGAAGAGTTATTCATTGATCTCACCTCTCACTTGAGCAGAGCTTGATATGTATGTATATATATATATATATATATATATATATATACACACACACACACACAATAGGCCTTAGAGCAATACAATTTTTGTAAGCTAGTTAGTGTACAGAGAATATACTTTATGGGGTATAAAATGTACTCATGAACAAACTATATGAAAGTCGAAAGTTTAGCCATTTTGATATGTGAGTGCCTTGTCTACTAATTACTGTTTCATTTTTTTTTCTTTTTCGAAGTGCAACAGCAGATACCTACTTAATTTACAAGTAATTATCAAAACCTCTTTATCGTGATCGTAACAATGTACGATCAATCATTTGTTTTGTTGCTTTTTTTTGCGCTTGTTTTATCTCGACTATCTATTTCCATACTGGTTATGAATGAGAAGAAGAAGGAACGCAAATCAATGAAATTTCATGCCACAAACATTTGAATTACACGGGAGTTTTTTATGCCTAGTATATACTCTTATCCGATTTCGAGCGTTTATCTATAAACAAGATTTCTGAATTTATAAGATCTGGTTTGACATTGTTGATTTTCAAGTAAACAAGAGTGCTGCTGATTTGAGGAGAAAAGGCTCAAACAAGCATCCCACATCGGAAAGAAACAAATAGCTGTTTATAAAGAACAAGAAACAATTATCCCACATCGGAAAATAACCAAATAATAGTTTATAGAAAGCTATATAAATGCAAAGGCAGAAACGCTGTTAAAAGCACGCCGCTGCGCAGTAAGCACATAGCGAACTATTATTTCGCCTTTTACTAAAGAATACCGTGTGCTTGCTGCACTTCAAGCAGCATACGCCTCTTTTTGGAGGGTTGAATTTCTAAATGAAATTCGATCCAATAATTTCAACTAAATATTTCATTTTAAAATGAAACATAATCTGGTTAATTTTGATGCTACAAATTATTGATAGATTCAACAGTTCAAAAGGACATTTTTAAGCACAATTAACAAGTAATTATATTTGATCATGCTATCAATAATAAGAGAAATGGATGACTTCAACAAAAATATTTTTGTAGGATAAAGAAAATTCGTTTACATTTTTTTTTTTAATTTTCTTCCAGCATATGTCCACATTTTGGTCTGTTAAGATCAGTTCGACTGATGATTTAGATAACATAATTATCCATGTGAATATGTATGTGCTAATGTTTCAATTTATTTGAATGAATACTTCAACACACTTTGAAAGTGAAATATGTCCTAATTTTTATTTCCACCTGTTATTTTTGGCCACATATATATATTTGTATATCACATTTAATTTAGAGGGTCCTATGAGCCAAGTTTTCTTGCTGTTGGTGTTGGGAAAACTGTCCCATCTTGTGAAGATTTATCGACAAAATCATGTGATTCTTCATGTGCTTTTGTTTCTCCGAGTTTGCCACAAAAACCACATATCCTTTGCCCTATTCATCACCACTCAATCCAATCCAGCTAAGGATATGCCAATTTACAAGTACTTCATCTATATATATATATGCGCAACGACACATTTCTCAACTCACAACCAACTTTCGATATTTCAATTGCTTCACAAAACTCTCATATACATTCTTTCATATTCATCTTCAACGTCACCAAGATTTACTTCAACAAAAAGTCAATGGCTATTCACAAAATTCTTAGACGATCTTTATCATCTGAAAATAGATCAAATGAAGTTCCAAAAGGGCATTTAGCAGTGTATGTCGGAGAAAGTGAAAAGAAGCGCTTCGTTATTCCATTATCATACTTGAATCACCCTTCGTTTCAATAATTGCTATGCCAAGTTGAAGAAGAGTTTGGGTTCCACCATCCGATGGGTGGCCTTTCTATTCCTTGTAGTGAAGAGTCATTCATCGATCTCACCTTTCACATGAGCAGAACATGATATACATATACATATATATATATATACACTAGGTCTTAGAGAAATAGAACTTGTGACAAACTATTTTTTGTTTTTCTCTTTTTGATCTGTACACACAGATTTACGTTGTCGGGTACAAAATGTATTCCTGGACAAGTTAATGGTATTGCCTAACAAAAGTGTTATTTATACACTCAGCTATGTTTTATATGTGAATGCCTAATCTACTTGCAAAAAAGTTATGAATACTTCACAAGTGGTTTACAATTTATCCCACATCGATGTATTAAACTGCAGATAGTGAGATAAGAATTATATAAAAAGGAAAAATGTGCTTGGTAAACTTACTTACCTGGACGGGGTTGATAGACGATCAAGAAGGTCTATAGCCTATGCTTGTTACCTCCATTGCACTTTGGAGGGGCGCTTGTGTAAGGTCGGCCCAAGTGGCCGAGCCTGCGTCATAATTTGTGTCAGAGGGGGCCTGCGTTCGCGCGGCCCCCACCCAATTCCAGTTCGAAATAAGTTTTTTAAATTATGATAATTATAATTTGTTTAATTTTATTTTCATTTATACTAGTGGGTATATTGTTACATTGTTAAATAATATATCTGGGCAAAGGCAAATGATAGTTACTTTTCGGAAGAAATTACGAGTTTCGGATATAACGTTATATTTTTGGAGAAAATCGGGTCTTTTCGGAATTACTTTGGAAATTAAAATCAAAAATAAAAAAAATTCGAATTATTTTATATATACTTCCAATTCTACTAACAAAAAAAAAAAAAACTCTGGAAACATTGTAATTTTGAAAGTCGGAACGAAAAAAAGTTTGTTCCAAAGTCGATTTTTTTTTTATCGGAAGTTGGAACCAGTGGAAATTGGAATTTCCGCTCCAACTTTCACCCTAGTTACTTCATTTGATACCGGTTTTTGCAGAAATGAAGTAAATCGAAAAGAACAAAGAAGAGGTCCTTTAAAAAATGGAAAAACATTGGATTCCAGAAACTTTGAATGAGCAACATGAAACTTCCAATTCAGTTTTGTCCATGTTATAACTAATTATCGATGTAGCAAATACGAATTATTATCGGAATCCATGGCCAGATATTCATGCAGTGAGAAAACTGAAGTATGAACAGATGATATTCAAACCAAATAATGCTTTGGCATCTTAAAATGGCTCAAAATTTTCATGTATGCTATAAATTTGTGCTTGCAAAACATTTATTTTGCTGATTAACTAACTATCTTGTATATCTGCAAAACGGTGATCCTACTAAACATATCTATATAGTTACATATACAATCGTGTTCTGCTCAAACGAGATGTTAAATCAACAAATAGATCTTCACTGCAAGGAATTGTGAGGCCACCCATCGGATGGTGGAATCCGAATTCTTCTTCAGCTTGGCATAGCAATTCTTGAAACGAAGGATGGTTTAAATACGACAATGGAACAACGAAGCGCTTCTTCTCATTTTGCCCAACATAAACAGCAAAATGCCCCTTTGGTACTTCAACCGATCTTCTTTCGTTGGATAAAGATCGTCTTAGTATTTGACGGATGGCCATTTTTGTATAAATCGAGTCTTGTGTACGTGGAATAAATTTTTTTGGTTGGAAAGAATAAAAGCTGAGAGATGTATCGTATTTTGAAGACTTGTTGCTGGCTATATATTAATCAAGAAAACGGTCTTGTATATATAGGGTAGAAAGAGAGGAAGAACACTTCATATATATTTCTAAAAAATTGATATGTGGTGGTCTACGAAACTCGAAAGACCTACACAAATGCAGTCACATGCATTTGTCTTTCAAGAATCGTAGTTATTTCGAGCCAACAGGAATTTGTGTGATTGAAAATGTTGTGTCCTGCCAACTATGGCAACATGGCCCTTGAATAATGATGACCTTACACCATAAGAATTATGATAACAAGTAGCTCAAGTTTCTACGTTTTATTTCGATATTTGTACTATTCGGGCCCTGTTATGTTACGTCACATTTAATTCGGAGGGTCCTATGAGCTAGGTTTTCTTTGCATTTGGTGTTAGGAATTACATAATTTATCAACAAACCATTCGTTGTGTCGCTCTAAAATCTTGTGAAGATTTTATCGACGAAGTCATGTGATTCATCATGTGCTCTTGTTTCTCCGAGTTTGCCACAAAAACCACATATCCTTTGGCCTATTCATCACCACTCAATTTATAGCTAGATTCTCAAGGATACATACGGACATTTACATGTACTTCATCTATATATACATATGCGAAACGACACATTTCTCAACCTACAACCCACCTTTCAATACTCAACTTCTCGTATTTCAATTGCTTCGATCACAAAACCTCACCAAGATTTACTTCAACAAAAAATCGATGGCTATTCACAAAATGCTTAGACGGTCTTTATCGGCTGAAAAGAGATCGAATCAAGTTCCAAAGGGTCATTTTGCTGTTTACGTCGGAGAAAGTGAAAAAAAGCGATTTGTTATTCCGTTATCGTATTTGAACAATCCTTCGTTTCAAGAATTGCTATGCCAAACCGAAGAAGAATTTGGATTCCACCATTCGATGGGTGGACTCACTATTCCTTGCACCGAAGAGTTATTCATCGACCTCACCGCTTACTTGAGCAGAACATGAGTTACATATATGTATATACACTAGGTCTTAGAGTAATAGAATTTTATTAGCCACTTCACGAACATTTCTTTTCCCTCAGTTCGGCTGTACACAGAGAAGATACGTTTGTCGGATACAAATTGTATTCCCGAACAAATTAATGGTTATTTTGTATACACTGAGGAATTTTGATATGTGAATGCCTTGTCTTTTGGTGTTTGTCACTGCCAAAAAAGTATGTTATAAAAGGTTGTGAAATCCATAACTAGTATTGTGAAAAACAATGCTTCTACTGAACATTAATCCATATACCATGCATGCATGCAGAGATTGATGCTGTGATGAGAGAAATATAATATAACAATGGGAATTCGTTTGAGTGTCATGTAACCCAACTACGTCTGAATTGACAGAGTGCTGATTGAGGAGAATATAAGCTCAGAAAATTATCCCACATCGGAAAATAACCAAATAATAGTTTATAGAAAGCTATATAAATAGAAAGGCAGAAACACTGTTAAAAATCACGCAGCTGCGCAGTAAGCACATAGCGAACTATTCTTTCGCCTTTTACTAAAGAATACCGTGTGCTTGCTGCACTTCAAGCAGCATACGCCTCTTTTTTGAGGGTTTTTTTTCCTTTTGGAAATAGCCCCAACAATTTAAGTCTAAATTATTTATTTTTATATTGCTTAAAGTTAATAATTGATATATAGAAATTATTTGGTAATAAAATGTTAAGTTATTGATTTAAATTTTTTAATATGTTTAAGTTCAAATTATTCATGCAATCTATGTGTTATACAGGAGTTGATTGTATATATAATCATGTTCAGCTCAAACGAGATGTAAGATCAATGAATAGATCTTCGCTACAAGGAATGGTTAATCCTCCCATTGGATGATGGAATCCAAATTCTTCCTCAGCACGAAATAGCAATTCTTTAAACAAAGGATGGTTCAAATACGACAATGGAATTACAAAACGCTTCTCATTTTGCCCGACGTAAACAGTTAAATGCCCCTTTGGAACTTCGTTCGATCTCTTTTCGGATGATAAAGACCGTCTAAGCATTTGTCGAATAGCCATTATAGTATTCAAACTAAATCTTTCTGAATTTAAATAGAAAATCAAAATCCAGTTTTTTTTTTTGTGAAATAAGTGATCAAAGCAGAGGAAGCTAATGCTTTTGGATGACTGAGAAATGTGTTGTATATATATAGGTGTACATAGAAATATTGTCTTCCATAAATTTTATGTGATAGTCTGTTAGACTCTAGGGACATAAGCACATGACGAAGATGAAAAAAGGCCTCAAAAGACCCCACCGTACTCAAATGGATAACAAATTTTCGATGCTTTGTCTCACCTAAAACATTAAAAATTTCAATTAATTTAATTTCATATTATGTCATGATACAGATGAACAACAACCGTAAAAAATCCGTATGAACATATTGAATGAAATGCCAGCCCACCAAACTCTATCTAATGGTGTCTGCTAATTTGTTTATTACTAATCAAAACATAAACGGTCCACACAGATGCATTAGGCACATACATACAAGAGGTGAATGGGTCGAAGAAATCGGCAAATCATGTGATTATGTTTCGTGGTATATATTATTTTCAAAATTAAATATTGCAACTTAAGTTATGCAAATTTAATTGAGAAGGTCTTTTATGGGGTTTTCTTGTTGGAGATGGTAGGAATAATGTGATTGTTCATGTGCTTTTGTTTCTTCAAGTTTGCTAGGCACCACATACCCTTTGGCCTATTCATCACCATCCAATCCAACTTGATTCTCATATGTGTATACATGTACATATATGCAAGTACCACTTCATCTATATATATATGTACATTTACTTGACATATTTCAAAACTCAATCCTCATATTTATCTTGCTTTCACAGAACTCTCATACACATTCTTCCTTTTTCATCTTCAACTTCACCAAGATTTACCATAACAAATCGATGGCTATTCACAAAATTCTTAGACGATCTTTATCGTCCGAAAAGAGATCAACTCAAGTTCCAAAGGGGCATTTCGTAGTTTATGTCGGAGAAAGTGAAAAGAAGCGCTTTGTCATTCCATTATCGTATTTGAACAATCCTTTGTTTCAAGAATTGCTATGCCAAGCCGAAGAAGAATTCGGATTCTATCATCCGACGGGTGGCCTTACTATTCCTTGCACCGAAGAGTTATTCATCGATATCACAGCTCACTTGAGAAAAGCATGATACACAAATAATAATAGATCTTAGAACAATACATTTTTTGTTAGTTAGTTCCTCGACGTAGTTCGATTTTTTTTGCACTTTTCGTAGGCACAGAAGATAAATACATTGTACGATGAATTTAATTGTATTTACATTGAAAAGATTTGTACGCTCTTGACCCAATTTTGATGTCATAATATACTTGCAAGTTCTCAACATATATTCTCTCTTTGGTATGATTACTGCAAGTGCTAATGCAGAGTTAATTACAATAAGAAAAAAAAACCAAGAGTATTATCTATCCCACATCGATAAAATAAAGTTTAGATAGTGATCTAAGGAATTACATAATGAGAAGAATTGTAACTTAAAAAATTACTTACCTGGACGGGGTTGATAGACGATCAAGAAGGTCTATAGCCTATGCTTGCGACTTCCATTGCACTTTGGAGGGGCGCTTGCGTAAGGTCGGCCCAAGTGGCCGAGCCTGCGTCATAATTTGTGTCAGAGGGGGCCTGCGTTCGCGCGGCCCCTGTCCTATTCTAGTTTAAAATTCTATTTTAATTGATGTAGCAAAGCCACTTATGCTGCTCATGCAGGAGACGGTAGCGGCGGATCACGGTGGCGAAGACGGCGGCGGATTGTAGGAAAGTTGATTGATTTTGGAATTAAATATGAAGAATGAAACGACAGCGTTTTAATTACTAAACAAAGAAATGTGCTGGGAATTAAGTTAACAGAAGGAGATGGGCTAGAGCAGATTGGGCTGATTGTTTAAGAGAACTGGGCCCAACTGGATTTTATTGACTTGATGAAATGGACGCATATAAATAATTATGGGTAAATTACAAACACCCCCTGAGGTATGGTCAATTTACGAAAAAATCCCTCTTGTTTTGATAATTACATCTACCCCTCAACTATGATTTTTTCTTACACCTCCACCCTTATGGTGTCAAATTCCACATAATCATCTAGATTTCGTAATTATGATCATCTTGCTTCAAAATGTAGAGTTCGAATGGGATAAAACGGGTACAAAAGTGATAATACTCCATATAATCTCGAAGATTCCACTAAATTTGAGGAGTTGAGGGGTGGCTGTAATTATCCAAACAAGATGGAGTTTTCGTAATTTGACCATAACTCAGGGGTGATTGTAATTTACCCTATAATTATTAACAAAAATATATATTTTATTTAATTTTTGCAGAAGTTATATGTAGTGTACTACTAGAGGTATTCAGCCAAATCATTTATTATGTTGCTTTAATATCTTGTGAAAATATATGGACAGAACCATGTGATTGTTCATGTGCTTTTGTTTGTCAAAGTTTGCAATAAACCACATATCCTTTGGCTTATTCATCACCACTCAATCCAGCTAGATTCTCAAGTATGTGCCAATTTGCAACTTCATCTATATATATGTTTGTATTACACATTTCCAAACTCAGGGCCGTTCATGAGATTTTGGGGGCCCTAGGCGAGATTTGAAGACGGATAAAAAATGGGGCCCCTTCTCCAATTTACAATAAAACTTTTTTTTTACAAAAGATGATAAACTCTATTTAACTCGATTTTGTAAGGTACGTAGTCAGTGGCAAGGCTAAAAATTTGTGATATAGTAGGGTTAAAGTTTACGGGGGTTCGGGGGCAGCGCCCCCGATTTTTTTAAGGATAATTTGCATGAAGTAGCACTAAAACAAGTGAATATATATATATATATATAAAAAAGTAAATAACTAATTCATTACAAATTTAAATTTAATAATTAGGGGCCCCTGATTAGAGGAATTCTAGAAATAAGTAAGAATTGTTGATATATAGCTATTTATGAATTAAAGTTCTCAATAATTATATATATATTATATATTTTTTTTTCAATAAATGTTCATATATAAAGGGTATAAAAAAATTTGGGGGCCCTAAATTTTTGAAAAAATCCGGGGGCCCTAGGCGACCGCCTACTTCGCCTCCCCTCAGAACCGGCCCTGTCCAAACTCACAACCAAAGCTTTCAGTACTCAACTTACTCATATTTCAATTGGTTCACAAAACTCTCGTATACATTCTTTCGTTTTTCATCTTCAGCCTCACCAAAAAACAAAAATCGATGGCTATTCACAAAATTCTTCGACGCTCTTTATCGGCCGAAAAGAGATCAAATGAAGTTCCAAAGGGCCATTTTGCCGTTTACATCGGAGAGAGTGAAACAAAGCGATTTGTAATTCCGTTGTCGTATTTGAACAATCCTTCATTTCAAGAATTGCTATTTCAGGCCGAACAAAAGTTT